ATGGATTATGTTTGACAACCAAGGTTTGACTGTACAGCCTTTTCTCTATGTTTCAGAAGATGTGCAAGAACCTTCACTTTACAGAGCCTTCAAAAACCGCTGATTCTCGTCCCCTGCTGCTTAATTGCTTATTCTTTGGTTTCATGATTTTATTGTATTTCATGATTTTATGGTTGTTTTTGCTTCCTCCCCATTTTTGTGAACAGCTGTGAAATTTGACCAAGATTGTGGCATGAGTAATAGTGAAAGAATCAACTCTTTCTATACACAGCAACTCAGAAACTCTTGCATTGTGCTCTCTGTTCAACTAAATAGCTTCCTACACTTAGATGCAAAGTTCATTTTTTTGAAAAACAGGAACATACTAATTTGATTTGAGCTTAGAAAAGGAAGGTTATTGTTTTAATGAGACACATGTAAAGTGGCTAATGACAGTATCAGTGCAGCTAGTCCATGGGGTTAATGCTTTATTATTTCAAACAATGGGTGAATGTAGCTTTGATATTCCTTTCCCCCAATAATTTAGCAATGAACAGTTCACATGTTACATTGCAGGTCACAATATGGAATGAACAGGGCAGATTTGAGGGTAAACCATACACAGCGCGGGTCTGCCCCTGTGGCTCGTTGGAGGTTGAGACTGCTTCACATGTACTGTTACGTTGTCGCCTTTATGAGGATATACGTTTGACTTTTATTGCACCTGTTTTGCAGAAGTCCAGGAAAGAGTCGGAACACCATGGTTTGGAACCACTGCTAGAGGACAAGAATCCCAAGACTACATTAAATGTAGCCAAATTCTGTGCGGCTGCAATTAGTCGCAGGAAGCAAGTGGTATCCCATGGTGACCAAACCCCCAAATGTTAATTGCAGGGGGCATGCTAATAATTAATTTTAATTTTTTATATTTTTATATTTAAATGCTTGTTATACTCTGTATTTTTGATATATATATATATATATATATATATATATATATATATTTATGATCTGTGATGTTGTGTGTGCTGGCGCTGGTCTGTGACCGTATTAATAAATTCATTCAATATGGAATGAGGGGAGGGTGGAACTGTACAGACTTGCTAACTAGCAAATGACTGTTAGTGTGTGGCTGAAGTTATATTCAATATGCACTGAGATACAGCCTGCCATTGCAGTGTAGTGAAAGGGAAACAGTTTTTCCATCTTGAGGTCCAGAGCTGGAGTCAGTCACCATAACTGCATCTGGCTATCAACAGAACTGGCTACCAATTAGTTTCTGGGCCCAGTTCAAAGTGCTGGTTTTGACCTTTTGTTGTTTAGTCGTTTAGTCGTGTCTGACTCTTTGTGACCCCATGGACCAGAGCACGCCAGGCACTTCTGTCTTCCACTGCCTCCCGCAGTTTGGTCAAACTCATGCTGGTAGCTTCGAGAACACTATCCAACCATCTCGTCCTCTGTCGTCCCCTTCTCCTTGTGCCCTCCGTCTTTCCCAAAATCAGGGTCTTTTCCAGGGAGTCTTCTCTTCTCATGAGGTGGCCAAAGGATTGGAACCTCAGCTTCAGGATCTGTCCTTCCAGTGAGCACTCCGGGATGATTTCCTTCAGAATGGATAGGTTTGATCTTCTTGCAGTCCATGGGACTCTCAAGAGTCTTCTCCAGCACCATAATTCAAAAGCATCAATTCTTTGGCGATCAGCCTTCTTTATGGTCCAGCTTGACCTATAAAGCCTTAAACAGCTCAGGACTGTGATACCTCAAGGACCGCTTCTTGCCATATGAACCTACCTGAACCCTGAAATCACCTTCTGAGGCCCTCCTTTGTGTGCCTCCTCCTTGAGAGGTCTGGAGGGTGGCAACACGAGAGCCGGCCTTCTCTGCGGTGGCTCCCCGTCTGTGGAATACACTCTCCAGGGAAGTTTGCCTGGCGCCTTCATTATACACCTTTAGGCGCCAGGCAAAAATGCTCCACTTAAATCAGTCCTTTGGTTGATCCGATTTACATCCCATGCCTTTTTAAAATGTGTTTTTTGGGGGTGGGGGGCGCTATTGGGTTTTTGTTTTTATTAGGTATTTTGCGGTTTTATATCTTGATTTTATTCTGTGAACAACCCTGAGACCCCCAGGTATAGGGTGGTATATAAATTCAATAAATAATAATAATATAATATAAATTCTAATAATAATAATAATAATAATAATAATAATAATAATAATAATGGACCAAGTCAAGAAAACTGTTTTGCAGATCGAACCAGAAAGCCTCTCCTCCTTACAGAGGGGAGGAGTTGTGAGCAGGAGCCGTTTCCCGCGTTGGCAGGGGGCGTTCCAGCCCCCTGCCCAGCTGGCTTGGCTGCCACGCCACGCCCCTAGGTAGCCAACCAACTAGGTGGAGGCTTGGGGGCGGGGTTTCGCCACTCAAAATGCGGCCGCGGCAGCACTTCCCTTTCATTCCGCTGCTGGTTTTCATTGGATCACCCACCCAGCCTCCCTTTAGTTCACTGCTTGGTTCTTGACATTGCTATGGATCTGTGGTTTGTCGCCTTGGTTGTCCAAGGGGCCTGGTAGGAATTTTTATCCAACTGGCAAATTGGCACTGGCCGCTTGGTTTTTTGCCTACCTCGTAGCAAATCGTCACAACTTTTAGGTATTGGCGGTTAGGCATTGGAATATGTTTGTGTATTGGAGGGCAGGGTGTGGCCATCGCCTACCCGTCCACTTTATGGGTATTCAGGTTAAGGAATCTGGCGGTCGTGGATCCTGTCCGACGCCCTTGCTGGTGCCTAGGGCCATGGCACGACCCCTGGTGACATCAGGGAGAGCTTTCAGTTGTATTTGCATCAACAGGCTCCTCCCACTGCTGGTTAACCCTTGTTAGACTCACCCCTCCCTGAGGGGGTGGAGTCACGCTCTGTTGCTTTATCCAACGCCTAAGCCAATACCCCTCACATGCTGTAATCAATAAAGTTGTGGACTTTTTTAGCCCATTAACCTAATATACTGTGTCCATGTGTCTTTCTTATCCTCAAGCGGGTGGCGGGTCCTTGAATCACAATCCTCAATTCCTTTTGAAGCCAAATTAATCCAAATAAAGTCAAGCTTATGGGAGATAATTCCTGCATCTGGAGGTTCTGCTGTTATCAATTAGTTAGTTACTCTTCAGCGTAATAATATTTATTACCCAGAGACTGAAAACCAGCTTTATACTGAGACTCACTTTAAGAAGAAGAAGAAAAATCTACAAAGCACACTGCTTACCCTCCCGCCTGTTTAGAGTGATGAAGCCTCTTTGCCATGTACAAAGTGTGAGGCTTCTTTTCAGAGAATCTGACTTAGTTATGAGAGGTTTCGCCTAACAGATTTGTTTTAATACAAGATTTCAATACATATTCAAAAGGTGTTTAAAAAACTGTGAACGGGGGGATCATCCATCCTACACTTGCCTCCTAGCATACTGCTAGTTAAAATAAAGAAGTTTTCTTCTTTTGCAAAACAGCTTTTACAGACATAGAGGAGAAAGGAGGTAGGTATTAATACTCTGTACATTTCTTTCGCTTTCCCTTCGTTCAGGTTCTGAATGACCTGAGGAAGACCTAAGTAAGAAAACTCATTCTTGGGTTTCCAATTTATTCATTCATATCGTGCTCCACAGCTCATTTAAACTTAGTGTATATTAAAACCACAATCAATTTAACTGCATATTCAAGCTCTTACAACCAAGCCGTACATCACAACGCAGCTTGCAAATGGAACTGAATAGCCTTGCTGTGTGTTCTCAACATGATCTAGTCTGAGGAACACACAGTCAGAAATTATTATTATTATTATTATTATTATTGCAAACGAATACAGGGATATCAAATTTTAAAATAAGCAGGAAGTCTTGAAACTTTAAGACCCATGGCAATTGGTTCAAATCAAACACCATTTGTACAATTTGTCTGAGGAGGGATTGGAGTCCCTTTCAACTCCCTTGGAGCTTATCAAAGCTACACACAAGTAAGGACACAGGGCTGTTGCCCTGGAGACAAGACAAACTGAGACTAAAACATTTTCTGCAATTTTCAGCTAGTATTCTGTACACTAGCCTCATCTATTTAGAATGGGGAATTTCTAAGAACCCCACTTAAGGTATTTCAATTTGTCCAAACTAATACAGTTGTACCTTGGATCCTGAACGCCTTGGTACTCAGACGTTTTGGCTCCTGCAAACCCAGAAGTGAGTGTTCCGGTTCGCGAACATTCTTTGGAACCTGAATGTCCAATGGGGCTTCCATGGCTTCCGATTTGCTGCAGGAACTTCCTGCAGCCAATCATAAGCCGCTCTTTGGTTTCTGAATGTTTTGGAAGTCGAACGGACTTCTAAGGTATGACTGTATACCCTAGTCTATTTTGTTTTTTACAAATATAAACCCACTTTACCAGTGTCTTGAAATAACTTGGCTCTGGGTAGGAATGGTTTCAACAACTCCCCCCCCATACTCTTGCTTCTGACTAGACTACACTCTTGCTTAAAGGTAAAGGTAAAGGTACCCCTGACCGTTAGGTTCAGTCACGGACAACTCTGGGGCTGCGGCACTCATCTCGCTTTACTGGCCGAGGAGCCGGTGTTCGTCTGCAGACTGCTTCTGGCTCATGTGGCCAGCATGACTAAGCTGCTTCTGGTGAACCAGAGCAGCGCACAGAAACACCGTTTACCTTCCCGCCGGAGCGGTACCCATTTATCTACTTGCACTTTGACGTGCTTTCAAACTGCTAGGTTGGCAGGAGAGACTCTTGCTTACACAGCGTCTATTGTCATAGCCATGGCCGACAGATGTACATCACCTCATACAATTCATAAATAATAGCTCAAAAGAGAAAGATGTGATAAAAGGCTTTGATCTCAAGGGACCAACACCTTTTCATGGGGAGAGAGAAATAGTGCCCTTGCTTTCCAGAGCTACCTCGGTCCTTTTCTCTGTAGGATAGATTAAGAGACAAGTTTAGAAGTAGGAAAATGTTCCATGAACTAGTTCCATGACTTTGAGACACTTTTAATAAAATTTAAAATACAAGGAATGACCTTACCGCCAATGGTCCCATCTGAGGTGAGAGAGAAACCACTAGCCTGAGATGTTTAAAATAGGAATGTGGGCTCAATAGCAAAAATATTTCTCAGGCTGACTATTATATTCATTGGCTTATCAGATCCTCCTGTTTGTTTTTTTTGCTAAAACTATGCTTTACAAGTTGATCCAGCAGAAGAACAGGTGATTCCAAATTCTTCTAATAAGAAATTGGCGCTTGCCGACATATAATCCTAGGCAGGGTATGCAAGATACTAAGTTGTGTCAGGATCTAGGGTAGCATTCTGAGTCCTGTACAAGGACGACTCAGAATTCTAATTTTTGATTTGCTACTTTTTTTTGTATGGAAAAGCAAGAGAGTGTTGACCCGAAGATGGATGACTACATCAGAGCTGTGGCTCCACTGTAAGAGCCATAGATTAGGGAAGGCAAAGTAGAAACACCGTGTTTCAAAGGTTAATGCAGGAAAGCTTTTTCCCCGGTCTAAGGAATTTAGAGAGTTATTTACAATGTTTTCTTCTGGGCTTGGGAGAAGGGACAGAAAGGGAGATTGACTTCAGCTTTGCAGTTCCTTTTGCTGGCGAGCTGGGGATACTAAATCAAAAGAAAGTTCCATGCATATAGTCCAGCTATATTTGCCCAGGACAATCCTTATTTTCCTGGAAACTCTCTCCAGTAAATCATTTCTCACGCTGGTCTTTGTGGAGCCATTAAATATTCCAGTGCACACTAGCATCCTTGCCACCTGTGTGCAAACATGTATACCACCCTCTTTGCTCTTAGCTTATATTCCTGCTGCTCCTCTTCCTTCTGTTTTCCCATCAACTATATCTTGAACTAGTTAACCATTTCCTAATGTGCCCTGTTGCACCTGATTGTCTTTTTTCACACTTAGCCTTACTGCTTGTCCTCTCCAGCACAATTCAATATTTCTGTATTGATTCCCTCTCTGTCCAAGTCACTTTACATGTTCTTCTCCAACAGCACATTTCAAAAGCTTCAAGTTTCATTTCTTCCACTTTAGCTATCAGTCATATTTCAGAGCAGGGATACAGGAAAGCCTCCAGATGAATTTTCCTAGTCTTATCAAAACTCTATTCGCTTCCCTTGAAATGGCAGAAGTTCCGACAATGCAGCCCTCCAAGTTTGCTTCAACATTTCCTTTTGATGGTATTTGGTGGCAGCCTCAGAACACCTGACACTCCGTAAGAAATTATTCTAGTTTCATCAAAACTTTTCACTTCCTTAGATGTTGGGTCTGACCAGGGACCTGTCACGGTCTGGGTTATAGGCAGTCGGAGTCCCAGCTTGGTACGTCGGGACCAGGGTAGAGGTTGGGAATCAGGAATCAGCCGTCCAGGGTCAGCAGTCCAGGGGTCAGGAAGCCAAGAGTCCGCAAATCAGGAAACCAGGAGTCAGGAAGCCAAGGGTCCAAGCGTCAGGATACCAGGAGTCAGGAAGCCGAAGCACAGCTAGGTGGGTAGTGTGTTGCTGTGGCAAAGAGCCAGAGGGAAATGTTGGTCTTATATACCCCTCCCGGCCCTTGCCACCAGGTGCTATGAGTCTTCCGTCAAGCCTCACCTGTGCAGCCGCGCCTTGCCCTTCCAGGCTAAACCCAGGAAGGCCCCAGTCCTGCGAGGCCCTACCAGTCACAGGGCCTGGCTCCTGCACACACTCCTGACAGGACCTCAAAACTCTCACTTCAAAATTCATCTGCACAGTACCATGGCAACTTGGAGTCCAGAACAATCTATTGTGACAGCATCCACCACACTCTGCACTATAAACATATGCTAATGTAGCCTTTTCAGACCCTTCCCATTGGTTGGGTGCATGTTGCTCCCGGGAGGGAGGGAGGAGTCAATGGACACTGAGGGTTGGTTCAGAGAAAGAGTTTATTTCTGCTTTCCAGATAGCAGAAAGGCACTGCGTGATCAGTCACAGCAAGCACACTAAAAGAGCAGTTACATACAGCTTATATCCCCTTCAGGTCCCCTTTCCCCCTCCCCAGGAATCCAGCCTCATGAGTTTGTACACGTAAGTTTGCATCCTTGAGCATGAACAGAAATTCCTGTTTCTGTACTCTTATCTTGGGGTAAAAAGGTCACCCAACTATAGGAGTTCTTCTGGCGCCATCCCCGGGCACGGGGGCTGACAGGCCTGTCTTGCAAGGTCTGTGCGTCAGCGTGGTCAGGATATTTACAACCGATAAGATAAGACCCAGTTCCGCCATCCCGTCTCCACTCGGAACTGACAAGGCCATCCATTAAGCCTTCATGGACCGATAAAGGAGAAGGCTTTGTTTATGCAGCTGGGTTTGTGTTATACAGCTCAAGCTAATGGATTTTAGCTAATGGATCCTTGAAGAAAGAATTTGGAAATTATTGGGGCCCGGTTCGGGTGACTGCACAGTCAAGTTTGGGTAACCTGTTCCTTCACAGGGTCATGGGTTCAAGCCCCAGATTGGGCAAAAACTTCCTGCATTGAAGAAGGTTGGACTAGATTGTTTTTAACACTTGATTGGGAGCCGCCCAGAGTGGCTGGGAAAACTCAGCCAGATGGGTGGGGTAGAAATAAATTATTATTATTATTATTATTATTATTATTATTATTATTAATGCCCCTTGTGGTCCCTCCCAACTCTACATAGGAGCCAACGCCTAGGGGTCAAGGTCCCTTGTCCCCCCAATAAAATATTTGAGGGGGCTGCCCCTCAAAGTTGATCAATTAGGTGGGGTGGGGCTTGCCTGCAACCCCCCCCCCTATTTTATTCAAGTTGGCACCCCTGCAACTCTTCAATTCTATGATCATTGAGAATTTCCTCACCCATTCCCCTCTTTATTGGGTGACACCTGCAAAGCCGAGGAAGAGACATTTTCAGTATAACATCACCATGGCAGATGTATTGTAAGTTTTTCTGTTAGAGGAGGAGAGAGGGAAGGGGATACAGATTGCTACTTTTAGGTTGAACCACCAGCCTCCTATTACATCCAGCAGAGCTGGGTATGTAATAGGTTGGCGATACCCCTCCTCCCTTCTAAATACCAGCCAGTTGAGAGAGGCGGGCACCCATTTTCTGTCTCACAAAGATCCATTTCCTTTGTTCCCCTCAATGGCTCAACACCCAGGCTATCACCTCAACTTGAAGATATGCTAACACTTCCTGGACCCAGGGGATAGAAAGGTCTTTGCATACAGCCTACTTCCCCACCACCCCAAACTGATAACCACAAGAAACTGAGAGAAATCAAAATTGGCAGATTCGCCAACCCCTAGGCTCAGAAGTGTCAGTTTGCATTTCTTAGTGCAGAAAGTATCAATCTGTTGTGTAGAGATCTTTCCTATTCTAATTAATTCAAGAGGGTTCTGGAAGCTTCTCTGTGTGAAAGAAAAAAGCAAAAGGTCCTTGGTGTTTGGGTTATTCCTTCAGAGAAGCTGAGTACAGCTGGCTTAAACTGGTTCTGTTATCTTATTCTGTCAAGGTCATGCTGACTATAAAAAGTAAGGCCAGAAGGAGCCTGAATTTCATTCTTTCCATCTCTTTTCCTTCTGGTGTGGTGTTCTGTACATAGTATACTTAGTGTTAAGGTTGAGTCTTACTATAAGTTATTGTAAGTTAAGTCTGCTGCCACTGGATTTCTTATGGACAGTGCGAACCCTGAATGTATTGGATTTGTGACCATTATGCTCATTTGCCTTCAGTAGCAGTAAAGCTCTGCTGGATGATATATTAATTGCCTATTTTTTTGGCAATCCTGCAACGTGTTTAAGTTTTTACTCTGCTAACTATATGTCGGAGTTCTGTTCTGGATCAATATTGAGTAGAATTTCATTGACAAAAAGGCATCGTGGGTTTTATGTGGCGTGAGTCTTACAGAGGTATAAAAAGTACAGTGGGTTTCTAGCTGAGAGGCGAGGTGTCTCAAGTTTAACATGAGAGTGAATACAACTCACGTTTTCATTCTCTCTACAAGACCATGGACAACAAACCAACCATGGAGCAAATATGAATGATAGGCTATTTAAGCACCAGCCTATACTCACTGGCAGAAGGGTGAGGAAGACTGGCATCCAGTGAAATGTGGACATATTTCGGTTATGTTCAGTGCAGGAGAGACTGAGACAGTGTAAACAGGAACTGAGCAGGAAGAGCAAAAATTCACTCATGCACGGAGCAGATATTTACTGAGACCTTTTGCAAGGCATAGGGACGCGGGTGGCATTGTGCGTTAAACCACAGAGCCTAGGACTTGCTGATCAGAAGGTCGGCGGTTCGAATCCCCGCAACGGAGTGAGCTCCCATTGCTCGGTCCCTGCTCCTGCCAACCTAGCAGTTCGAAAGCACGTCAAAGTGGATAAATAGGTACCGCTCCAGCGGGAAGGTAAATGCTGTTTCTGTGTGCTGCTGTGGTTCACCAGAAACAGCTAAGTCATGCTGGCCACATGACCTGTATGCCGGCCCCCTTGGCCAATAAAGCGAGATGAGCGCCGCAACCCCAGAGTCGTCTGTGACTGGACCTAATGGTCAGGGGTCCCTTTACCTTTGCAAGGCATATTGGTACCCATGGGTGCCACATTAAAAGGTAAAAGTAAAGGACCCTTGGATGGTTAAGTCCAGTCAAAGGCGACTATGGGGTTGCCGCGCTCGTCTTGCTTCAGGCCGAGGGAGCCTGTGTTTGTCCACAGACAGCTTTCCAGGTCATGTGATCAGCATGACTCAACCACCTCTGGCACAACAGTACACCGTGACGGAAACCAGAGCACACAGAAATGCCGTTTACCTTCCCGCCGCAGTGGTACCTATTTATCTACTTGCACTGGCATGCTTTCGAACTGCTAGGTTGGCAGGAGCTGGGACGGACAGAGCAATGGGAGCTCACCCCATCGCGGGGATTTGAACCACCAACCTTCTGATCAGCAAGCCCAAGAGGCTCAGTGGTTCTAATTTTTGACACATGAAATAAGGATTCATTGTTCCCACTTCAATCTCATGCACAGTTTTATTCTCACAATGCACTGCTGGCGACATATAGCAGCAGGTACAGCCATTTAAAACACAGCCAATACATTTGAAGTGCACATTCTTAGAACTGTCTTATTAAAATATCATTTGGAGAAGAAATATTTTGTCTCAATGTGTCCTGATGCTGCTCTTGTGCAGGAGGCATTTTTAATTCCCCAAATGTAAGAACACAATACATTATATTCCAAGACTTTGAGTCAAGCAAATAACATATATTATAGCTGTTGGAGTGTTGTTTTCAGAAAATATGCACAAGATAGTGTGTTTTTTCACTGGGATAACCTGGAGGAGGAAGGAAAAGTGGGGTCTCATTGATATTCTTGGGTCCATGGGCTCACCAAAGCCTGGAGCCAGACATAACCCATGACATCTTTTGACTAATCTTACCTATTTCTTCTCTCAAAATTCCTCAGTTATTTCCCCTACACAGGAACCTTGAAATTCACCTTCAGATTTCACTTCATGTGAAAATGCAGCAGTGCCTCCACTTATTTGGGACTACATAAAATAAGTTACAGTTCAGAAAAGCAAAGTTTGTCATTTGCTTGGTTTGTGACTTTGCTAAGCTTTTATTGGCTCAGAATTTTAATTCCTCTTGAAGCAGTTTTTCCACTTCTAAAATAAAATTAAAAAAAGGAGAAGCAGAGATATGTTTTGCCAAGATAACTGTCTGCCAAATTATGCCAGGGACATTACACAATCAAGTAGCCCCATACCATGGGAACAGAAGGAAAGTATTTAGCAGTAAATTATGGAAGGATCATAGTAGGCTGTTTTGTGCAAGCAGAGGTGTATTTCAAAGTTTAAAACAGGAGTTTGAATGTCATTTGTAACACTCTTCACAGCTCAGGCTTGCTTGCTCAATATGTGTGCATTACACCAATAAGGAAACAATGCATAGTAATTTATTTATATCCACCAAAAGGTCAGTATCAAAAATACTTCTTCTCATATTTCTTAAATCAGAGGTTTGTAGACACCATTGCAGTCTTTATAAATATTATTTTTAAGTTCATTTGCAGCCACAAAACGTCTACTTCCTCATAAGGACAACAGTTTATTTACTTATCAGCTGTGTCAAAGGGCAAAATGTAGAGCCAAAATGAATTTGCTTCGCAGAATGGTCATCTAAGAAACTTGTCATCTAATATTTCCAAGATATTCTTAGAACACTGAAATATTTGCTGAATAGTCGCTGAATATTTTGAATGTGTTTTGACATCTGATGATACTTGATTTTCTGCATTAATTTCTTTTCAGCTATTATTTGGCTACATTTGAACACTGATGTGCAATTTTGTACGACGCATAAGATTTGAGACCTGTCAAAAAAATTAAAGCCCTAGTGATGATATCTATAGCTCTCACAAACTTTACACTCAGGTTTTTTTGCAGTTGAAGAGTTGATAGAAGGGTCAAACTAGAAATAATATTCAATGTCTCTTTTAATCTGCATGTTGTTGTTTTTTAATGCAAACAGCAGCCACTGGGTAAATTAATAAATATCAGCACTGAAGCAGGGAGGGGTGAGATTAATTGGCCCCTGAAACTGTTATTTGCATCAAGAGGAAATCCCTATTCATCCCTGTGGAGGGGAAGTGGGGTATTTACATTCTTACTCTTTCAAATAAAGCTGAACTCCCACTCCAACTGCTTTCCTAAACTCGTGCAACTGCCACCATTCAGTCTACTTTATCAATAACCCAGTAAATGAGGGGTAAAAGTGTGGAACGAATCTAGACAGATACTGATATTATATTAAACAACACTATTGAAATTTATTTATTACAAGATTATTAAGTGCACAAGCTTAAGCAGTTACTTTAAAATAGTTCAGTGTTGTTCAGTAAGCACATACTTTCCTGATATTGTTATTGACATTAAGTATGAACAGCTTAGGTTCAACTATTAATGTTCTAGTAAGACGGTCACTTTTGCACTTAGTAACCCTATTAATTTCCTTTAGACAAATGGCCCTTTTATTGATTTCTTTTTCACCCCAGTTTAACCTTACCAACACTATATGTCAGGCATGGCCAAACTCCCACCATCTCTATCTAACAGGACCAGTGGTCAGGGATGATGGGAATTGTAGTCCCAAAACAGCTGGAGGGCCAAGTTTGGTCATGCCTGCTATATGTGAAGATTCTGCCGGAAGCTTCTTTTTCCAACCCTTTACTGACGTGTTGAAGTGCTAGTCTGTATTGCTGTAGTTCCCTTGACGTGGGTGGCTCTGTGGTCTAAACCACCGAGTCTCTCCGGCTTGCTGATCAGAAGGTCGGCGGTTCGAATCTCCACAGCAGGGTGAGCTCTCTTTGTTCTGTCCTAGTTCCTGCCAACCTAGCAGTTCAAAAGCATGCCAGTGCAAGTACAGTGGTACCTTGGGAGCCAGTATGGTGTAGTGGTTAAGAGCGGTAGTCTCGTAATCTGGTGAACCAGGTTTGCTTCCCCGCTCCTCCACATGCAGCTGCTAGGTGACCGTGGGCTAGTCACACTTCTGTGAAGTCTCTCAGCCTCACTCACCTCACAGAGTGTTTGTTGTGGGGGAGGAAGGGAAAAGGAGAATGTTAGCCGCTTTGAGACTCCTTAGGGTAGTGATAAAGTGGGATATCAAATCCAAACTCTTCTTCTTCTTGGGTTAAGAACTTAATTCATTCCGGAGGTCCGTTCTTAACCTGAAACTGTTCTTAACCTGAAGCACCACTTTAACTAATGGGGCCTCCCACTACCACCGCGCCACTGCTGCACGATTTCTGTTCTCATCCTGAGGCAAAGTTCTTAACCCAACGTACTATTCCTGGATTAGTGGAGTATGTAACCTGAAGCGTCTGTAACCTGAAGCGTCTGTAACCTGAGGTACCACTGTAGATAAATAGGTACTGCTGCAGCGGGAAGGTAAACAGCGTTTCTGTGTGCTCTGGTTTCCGTCACGGTGTTCCATTGCTCCAGAAGCAGTTTAGTCATGCTGGTCACATGACCTGGAAAGCTGTCTCCGGAAAGCCGGCTCCCTTGGCCTGAAAGTGTGATGAGCGCCGGACCCTATAGTCGCCTTTGACTGGACTTAACTGTCCAGGGGTCCTTTACCTTTTACCTAGTTCCCCTGATATCTTCCCCTCTGGTACTCCTGCCAGATACAAGAGACCAGCATTCCTAGCTGATTCCCAGTTCTGCAGCCAATCCTCACCTTATCTCTTCCTCCTAAGCCAAGTGATTCAGCTAACCTCCAAGGAGGTGAGAGGGAGCTTCAGCCACCAACCCACTCCATCTGCCCCTCAGCTCTTCCTTCCCCTCCCTCTGTTTTCTTCTTCTTCCAGCTGACTCCACAATGGTCAAGCACCAAGAACTCCAACTCTCCAACCAACTGCCATCTAACTCCCTTCTGATCAGCTTTGAGCCATATTTACACTTGTTACGGTCCCTCTAGTTCAGCCCCAGCCAATCACAGTCTTACAGAAAATTCTAAGCCTACACCCACCAATCAAAATATGCCCGTCTCCTATCCTTCTTTTGCATCCTGAGACTTCTAACTGACAACTGTCAGTTAAAGGCCCCACACAACAGCTGAACTCACTTTCACTGGACCAGACAAAAAGTGCCCCAAATACATTGCAACATACATTACAATGCAAATGTCACAACACATTACAAAATTCACATTAAATCTTAATTCAGATAAATGCGATTTCTTCATAGCACTGATGGGGGACTTTCTCCCAAAGCAAATAGCAGCTTAGGAAGAGTGAATTCCACCAGGACTTTAGCCTTTTCATTTCTGATATTCCGCCCAGTTTCTGCATTTTTTTTTTTTAAAGAACATATATCTTAAATGCAAAGCTGCGTTTAATGTCCCATTTATTTGGCGAATACCAGAACTGTTTTCAGGCAAGGCTTTTTCTATAGCTACTTGGAGAAAACTGTGATTTTGTTAATACAGTGGTGCCTCGCAAGACGAAATTATTTCGTTCCGCGAGTTTTGTTGTCTTGCGATTTTTTTCGTCTTGCGAAGCATGGTGTCGGGAAAGTTTTGGAAAAGCTTCAAAAATCACCAAAGTCTTTAAAAACCTCAAAAAAGGCTACCACACCGCGTTCTATGAGTGGCTCCTCGAAGTCAAGTCGCAACTGTATTAACGGTGTTAAGAAAAAGGAAACAAACTTGCAAGACGTTTCTGTCTTGCGAAGCAAGCCCATAGGGAAAATCGTCTTGCGAAGCAGCTCAAAAAACAAAAAACCCTTTCGTCTAGCAAGTTTTTTGTCTTGCGAGGCATTCGTCTTGCGAGGTACCACTGTAGGTACAGTTGTATTACAGATTATTTTACAAACCTCAAACCCATAAAAGCTAGATAGTTCAAGATAAGCCAACTAGTACAAGATAATTATTGTGCATTACAGAAATCGTTATGGATTATGCATAGTGCTGTTGTCTGGAGCAATACAACGTTTTATTGCTAGCTTGCATGCTTAAGTTTATTGACAAGAAACTCTGTAATTTGTAAGTACGGCTGTTACTTAACATTGCAATGAAACGATCATATTAGATAGCTATGGAGCCACTGTAAAATTTCCTCCAAAGAAATCAAATGTGTTCTAATCGATAGACTGTAATGTGTATGTAAGTACAAAGTCCCCTTATTCTGAGTCAAACCGCTGGTACATTGGTAGCACTGCTAACAATAGCCTAATGCAGTGCTTTTTTTCTGGGGGGATGCAGGGGTATGCATACGCCCAAACATTTTGTGAATCTAAGTTTGGCCTCATTGAGGGGCAGTATTTCAATATGAATAGGAAAATGAGAGTACCCCTAAAGAATTTTTTTTTAAAGACAAAGAGCACTGGCATAATGTACCAGTGCCGCATGGGATATCAGGAGGGGCAGCCTTAAACTGGGAGGGCTAGCCATGGCTGGTACCAATAGAAAGCAGAGCTGTGGGCAAATGGCCTCTCAAGATTCTCCATCCTATTTATGGGCAAATAAATGGAGAGGATAATTTCACCAAATTTCTCCAGGAGGAGGAGAAATTCTGCAACAGTTTATTTATTAAATCTCAGATCACAGATCACAGAGTTGGAAGGGACCCTGAGGATCATCTGGTCCAACCCCCTGCAATGCAGGAATATATGCAGATGCCCCACATACAGGGATCAAACCTGCAACCTTGGCATTATCAGCATCGTGCTCTAACCAACTGAGCTATACCGCCCTTCATCACAGGGTCATTGACAATATGAACAGTTTCTCAGGGATAAGGCCTCACTATTAGCCGGGGCACAACAATGCTTGTCTTTTCCTAAGGATGGGCTGTTGTTGTTTTTTCCTGCTGCAGCATCACATTATGGATAGAAAATGTTCCTTTACCACCATAACTTTGTGTTTTCCTGTCCCTTTCCCTTACTACAATCATTTCAGTTCCTCAGCCCATATAAGTTTTTTTCTTGGCCTCCCTTTCTTCAGTCCCTTGTATCTTATGCCTTCTCCAAACACTCCTCTCTCATATGCACTCTACCCTCGTGTCTCCTTTATCCTTTTGTGCCTTTTGGGCCATGTGTCATGAAGTTATCCTATCAACTGCCCTTTGCTTCCCTTGTCAATATTTTGTGTCTATGACTGCCGCTTGCATGTCCCAGCACAAGCACTCAGCTATAATGTGGGGCACCGTTCATATCACAACAGCTCATTCATCCTTGTTCAGTGGGTTAAGGAAAAACTATTGCTATTGAAAGTTAATTAACCTTCCGATCCAACCTGTTAGGTATGCATCTTCTCCGACTGCAAATCCCTAGAACATGTACCTGTCCAATTAAAATGTCCTGTCTTCTGCTGGCATGTCAGGTAAGGGGAGCACTTTCCCCTACTATTAGGGATTAGCTCCTAATTGTAAAACCTATTTCTGCTTCAGTAATTTCCTAGAAATCGGATTGAGCAAGCCATTTTGTAAGAAGTTGTGTCATGGCAACTTCCACATTGAAATACACACTTGGATGGTTCAATACCATCAAAGAGCAGTAGCTTTGCAGAAGACGCCAAAGGATGGTGACTAAGCATTAATAAGAACAGAAATAATTGCTTTTGCCATTTCCAATATAAAATTCAGGGATGCAAGCAAATCCAGGAAAAAATGATATAGGAAAGATGGACCAATTAATTATATTTCCGTGCCATTTTCATTCAAATGAATCCCAAAGTGGCTTGCAAACAATAAATAATAACACATTATAACAGAACATCACAAATACAGCATAAACAATAGAGAATAGTAAACAAATAATTAGTAAAACAATTACAATCTATAAAACACTATTAACAAGGCAAGAACTAAAAAAAATAAGCTAAACGCCACAATTAAAGAAAAAGCCATATTATATGATTAACGAATCAATACGGCATTTATAATCTATAAAATAACATTGATAACACTGGTCAACAACAAATTTGTTGTCTGCATTTTTTCAGCTGATTTAGGACAAATCTGATGCGCTGAATCCCAAAATCACATTGGTTTTGCTCAATCAGGTCAAGTTTTTGAGCTATGGCCACATGTCATTTTTTTACGTTTTTGTTCACATGTACGCTTGTGTGGAGCATTTTAGAAGAAGTTGGTGGGGGTAAAATGCCATGTCGAATAATTGTTTTGATTGGAAATGATTATTTTAATGACAAGAAGTATTCAGGTCCGATAGTTCTGGGTGATTATGTTGAAAAGGGATCAGTTTAAAGTCATAAAACCTCGAAATCTTCCATAAATTGGTGCGGCAAAGCATAAAGTTGGGGGATCAAAACCCCTGGCTCACTCGAGTACACTGAAGGAGAACTATGAAGGGGTGAAGTATGCGCTGGAGAAAATTGGTTATGATCAGCATAAGTGGTTTATTTGTGTTGACCTGAAGATGGTGAACTTTTTGTTGGGACAACAGTCTGGCTTCACCAAGTACCCATGTTTTCTGTGCATGTGGGATAGTAGGGACCGTGCTCAGCATTACATGAAGAAGGACTGGCCTGTGCGGGAGGAATTGGTGCCTTGCAGAAAAAGGAATGTCATCAACGACCCTCTGGTGGACAGAGACAGAATACTCTTCCCACCGCTGCACATCAAGCTCGGCTTAATCAAGCAGTTCACCAAGGCTCTGGACAAGGATGGTGACTGCTTCACTTACTTGTGCCAGGCTTTTCCAGAATTGACCATGGAGAAGTTGAAAGCTGGCATCTTTGACGGACCTCAGATCTGTCAGCTCATCAGAGATCCAGAGTTCGGAAACTCAATGAACGAAGTGGAACTGGAAGCGTGGAAGACATTTGTTCTGGTAGTGAAGAACTTTCTTGGCAACAATAAGGCCAGAAACTACGCAGAACTTGTCAACAACATGCTGACTGCTTTCAGAAACCTGGGCTGCAACATGAGCATCAAGATGCACTACCTATTTTCACATATGGACCGGTTTCCTGAGAACCTGGGTTGAATGAGTGACGAGCAGGGGGAGAGATTCCATCAGGACATGAAAGAGATGGAGACCAGGTATTAGGGTTGCTGGGACGCAGTCATGATGGCTGACTACTGTTGGACTCTGAAGAGAGACCTCCCTCCTGCTGAGCATTCCGGGAGTTCTAAGAAATGGAAGTTCAAGCCCTGAAGTTTGAAAAATGGTGAAGCAACATGCAATTTACGTGTACTTACCTTTATCAATGCCCACCATTCAGTTTACAGTAATCGATGTTTCTATCAGGTAATCAATATATATTGTTAGAAAAACATTTTTTTCTCTTAAAAACATATTTAGGATGATATGTGTTGTCAAAAATCAGCTGATAATGCCACAAAAATGTAATCGATTTTGTCACAAGAGCTGATTTTTTTCAAATCAACATAGCACAAAAACCTGACCTGATGGAGAGAAACGGATGCCATTTCCTGATTCAGCAGTGCAAAAGTACCCAAAATCAGTTGTAGAAATCTAGACAACATTCAAAAAGTAAAAAATTGTTGCCCAGTGTAATAGTATTAACAAAATAGAAGCAAACCCGCCCCCAGCTAAACACTGTTAAGTTCATACACTCTCTCTCCACACCCCATGACTCTTAATCTTTGACTCTATTAATGTCCACGACAGCAACTCCATCCTTAAGGTCCCTCAGGTTGGAAGTGGGGCAGTGTAGGTAAAACCAACCATCCCCAATGATCAACAGAGTCTATCTCCCCTCACAGTCTCCCCCACCCCGAAGCAGGTCCCTATGAAGGCTCCTAGGGCTGGAGGGTGGACAAAAACCATGATGGCCAACACAGAGTCTCTCTCCCCTTCCACAAAAATATTCCTTAACTGAGGATTCCACCAAAATTCAACTTCAACCTGCCTACACAAACCTCAGCTATTTATAATGCTGAATACTAGTCAGGCAGTACTTCGTAATCTCTGCAACTTGGGTGGCTAAGGTTTTTTGAGCCAGGAGCTGTCTTGCAACATTAGGCTGTGTGCAAACTATACCTTTAAAGCACATTTGATGCACATTTTCCCCTGTCAAAGAATTCTGGGCACTGTAATTTGTTAAGGTTTGCTGGGAATTGTAACTATGCGAGGAGTAAACTACAATGCTCAGAATTCTTTAAAGGAAAGCTTTGAATGGCTTTAAATGCATAGCATGTACGCAGCTTTAGTCTGGGACTTGTGGATCAGGTCAGTCCATTTCAGAATCGGCACAACTGAATTCTTCCACGCATCCTTAGTTAGAGACCAGCATTACCAGAGATCTTCATGATCTTAGCTTCAAGAAAGGGACTGCCCAAAACTCCATCATTTAATAGCTAGGGGGTCAGAGCTGAATTTCAGACTGAAAAGAACAAGGAGCAATAGAAAGGCACGTACAAGATGATAATGAGCTAAACAGACAAAACCTAATCTAGCCTATTGCCCAGACAAATATCACAGCTTGATCTAGCAGCCAGGTCAGGGATATCAAATGGGCTGTATCAAATGTGGAACAAGGCTAGAGATTTAAAGGGGAGAGACTCTTGAAATCAAGCCATTAAATTATTCTGTAGGACCCCTAGAAACAAGGATCTGGACTCAGACAACACTGAGTTTATTTTAGAGTTCCATCCTTGCATTCAAATACTTGCAGACCATGTTCTTGATTTCAGTAAGGCTTCTGACAAAGTTCCCCATAATATTCTTCTCAGTAAGAGAAGAGCTGGTAAAATGTGGGGTGGACGAGGTAGGTATTAGGTGGATTTGTAGCTAGCTGACTAACCAAACTCAAAGAGCGCTCACAAACTGTCAGGGACTGGGCAGAGGAGGAATGGTGGAGACTGCTTCCCTAGCCTGACCCCTCCAAGGAGGACGAAGAGGGAGACAGTATAGATTTACAACAAGGGTTTGTGGAAGGTAGCAACTCAGAGGCAGATGAGGGGGAACGTTAGAAAATCATGGGAGAGCCAGGAAAACACCCGGCTGACATGTTGTCATTAGAAACCCTCCATCTCCCAGAACCCGGCATGCCTTAAAAGTAGGAGAGCAATGAGATAAAAGACAGAGGGCACTTAGCAGCACCCATAGAGGAGAAAACGAGAATGAGGAATGAGGAAGTGGGAGAGACGAGAGGTGGAGAATCACTTGGGATAATGCTGTTATCCAAGAGGCTGGGTTCTATAGCCTCTCTTTGTAAAGAATGAAATAAAAGAGGATGGTAAGAAACTTTTCCTGGTCTTTATATAGTGGTACCTTGGGTTAAGTACTTAATTGGTTCCAGAGGTCCGTTCTTAACCTGAAACTGTTCTTAACCTGAAGCACCACTTTAGCTAATGGGGCCTCCTGCTGCCACCACGCCGCCGGGGCACGATTTCTGTTCTCCTGAAGCAAAGTTCTTAACCTGAGGCACTATTTCTGGGTTAGCGGAGTCTGTAACCTGAAGCATATGTAACCTGAAGCGTATGTAACCCGAGGTACCACTGTACTTTCCTGGGCAACCAGCCAGGAGCTGCTGACACCATCCTGACACAAACATTCCACACAATCTTGGGGGGAATATGACAAGTGGGGTGCAGCAAGGTTCTGTCCTGGGACCATTGATGTTCAGCTTCTTTATAAATGACTTAGACAAAGGAATTTGCAGATGACACCAAACTGGGAAGGGTAGCTAATGCCACAGGAGTCAGAATCGGGATGCAAGATGAACTTAACACATTGGAGCACTGGGCCCAAACTAACAAAATG